TGTGATATGGGCTATATAAATAAACATTGATTGATTGATTGACACACATACATAAGGTGCAAACAACAGGATATAAAAACAGATAAAAAATAAGATACAAATTAAATACAAAATACAGGTAGAGTAAAGTAAAAACATGAAGTTAGTTATGCACCGAGGATATCTTTCTAATGTTTTTTTGTAACAGCAGGTGGCAGACTTGACTCAGATCCTTTAAAAACCAGGCCTTAAAGACATCAAAGTCTGTAGGTGCATTCAAAACAAGTTTAAATACTGTGAGCATGACATTTTAACCAAAGATCCAGTCAGTGGCTAACTATCTGGAAAAATATGTTCCTATTTTTGCAGCAATGGATGTGTTTTTCAAAAAGAAAAGGCTTGTGACCCTCACACAATGAAACATCTGTCACACCGCTCTCAGATCAGTATGACACTCGCTGCAGTAAATACACAATTTAGCATAGCCATAAGCAAACTGGTGAGAAATTCTCAGACCATCTGACAGGTGAAAAGTCAACTTAAGGAAGCAAAGGTTGCTCAGTAGCCGCGCACTTCCCTTTCGCGGTCCATTTATCTTCAAGACGAGTTGAAGCAAATCAAACAGTTTGACCCTGAGGAAGAGAGTGCATACCGCTGGCTGAGGCAAATAACAAAAACATACAACCTGTGGGAATGTGGGATAACTGTACATATATAACATAAATCTTTGAGTTTCTGCATCCTAAAATCGGGAAGCCCAAGAAGTCTGAAAATATACAAAAACAAGGGAGACATCTCCAAAATAATTCAATGCAACTCAATTTGTATAGCACCATTTTTTACAAAAGCAGTACAGAGTGTATTACATAAAACATAAACAAATAAAATAGAATTAAAAAAATTGCAAATACAGAAAAATCCATACATCAAGTCATACAAATATAAATCATGTACATAGATGGATACACGAAGCACACAAATACCGTATGTTCATTTGAGAAATAATCCATTAAAATGAGATAGTTGTACCTTGTACCACTGTGCTCATCATTAGAGGTCAGACTCTTTCAATTTGAGGTCAACTTAAACTCCATGGAGCTATGGAAAATCCCATACGTTTATGTTGGCAAGGACAGCCTGTCCACATGAAGCCCAGACTGGTATGTTCAGAGCTTTTTCTGGACCCTAAATGTTGCTGTTTGCTGAGAGACTTAACACAAAGTATCAAAATCCCCTTTAGTCTGCCAGAACATAGACACAAATCCATCACCCACCTACATCCTCTTCACTGACAGACACACGGCACCACCACGCTGAAATTGTATCACTACAGTTCACTTTTTTAAATCGTAATCATTTAGGTAATTATTTTGAAGTTGGGTAAAACCAAATTTCATTTTTAATGCAGACATGCTTGTAATGTAAGGAAGTTATTGCTGCTACATTTTCATATTGCATAATATAAAAAAAGAAAAAAAAGTTGATGAAGATTCACAAAATAAGGTTACGAAAATACATCTGGTTCCACCGTTTTTTTCCCGAGTCGTTAACCAGCAAGTGGATTTGGTAATAGCAGTAATACATTCACAAGGTACGGAATGAACTCATCATAATCAAAACAAAAAATGTATTTGAAACCGAATGTTTGAATTATTTTAAGGATGATTTTGACTCTTGAAATATTTTCATATATTTGCAGATTTGCCAACTGCAAACAAACTAGTACATACAGTGAAAGGTTTATTCCCTTTATTTTGTATATTACCTTCTTTAACTTCAGTCCATTTATAAGCTTAGTGTAGATTAGTGCAGCTTTGTGAGTGTTATATTGTTCATTATAGGATATGGGGGGGTTAGGGGGGTTAAATGACTCTTAAAAGACACTCATCAATGAAAAAGCAACACTGTTAAACTGTTTTAAAGAAATATTAAAGTTTGTCCTCAAGTAAAAACCTGAGCAGGAACGCTTTGCACCATCCTTTATGTGTCTTTTCCACTTCTCAGAGGCCTGTGAGTGCCATTCATCTTCCTCCACAGACACACCGGTGGGCTCACCTCCCTGACCGCCTGCCCGTGTGGAAACCATGCACACTGGAATAGCGAACAAACATAAAACAGCTGTCCGGTTAAAGGAAAGAGGGAGAGGATCCAAACCAGACTCCAGGTAAACTTTGGCATGTTGACTCTCTCCCTCTCACAGACAGAGCAGACACAGACGCTCTGTTTCAGGCAAATACGCCAACTCATTCCAGAGGTTTCACAACGACCTCTCTCTGTTGTTTTTTGGCAACACTGAAAGTGTAAAAAAAACATGATGGTGATAACAGGGTTAAAAAACAGATGAGAGATAGGAACGCTGTTAAAAATAATTCACGTCCAAATCCACTTAGGTTAGAAGAATGTGTAGCTCTGTAGAGTTTATTAGACATTTATTTAGTATGTTTGGTGACTGTAGGTGTGTTTGTGGGTAAGAAAGAGTTCAGGGTTAGGAAGTGATCTCTTCCTGACCTCAAATATCTGAGCGCTTTGATCGTTTTTTTTGTGAAACCAGAGTAAATTGTAACACATTGTTAACAAAAATGTTAGAACGTCCATCGTGTTTACCCTTTTCTATTGACACAGAAATACATACATGGTATTAAAATGTCCAGTTATATTATATAAACTGATACAATGTCTCTCTTGTTTATACAGAAATATATTTCAGAGCAATATGTCTATTCTGCTGTATCATTTATTGGATATACATGTAGAGTTTATCCTGATCAATATTTTATAAAAAAACACTGTGGGATTTATCATGATAAGGATTTTAATTTACCTCACAATAAATAAAACCCTTTATTGCTTAGTCTTACCAAGCAATGGTATCAGTGAGATGTTTTATAAGCCTTTTAACATGATAGTAAACTTTTTTCAAACAGAAATAAATACAAATGTTTAGTTAATGGTCAGAAATGTTTCAAGCAAAAGCTGTTCAATGTATTTTACCATTAGCCTTTTATTAAGTAGTTTGTACTGTTTTGGCGTTTATATTCAAATGTCTGAATAATATGTATTATAGAACAATATTAATAATATTGTCAGTATTGCCCTACGGTTAAGAACTCAAAAAGACAAAAGTGTACAACAACTTTCTCATTTGTGGCTTTTTTATTATCCAATTGGTCTGCCTGGTTACATTTATAAATATTAGCAAACATTATTTTTCATTTCATATCTTTCACAGACTACTAACAATTGTTATCCATGACAAGTGATTAAGTTAAGCTGTAACAGAGAGTCTATAACAAACAAATATATGCAAAAATGTAGTCAAATGTCATATTTTTTTCCATTGAAATCTGTCACTAAATTCATCCAATAAATCAATTATATAAACACTACTATATACAATATGCAACTTTGTACAAACAGGACACATACAATACAGTACAGGATAACTTATACTTATACATGCTCACATATATATATAGGAAATAGAATAATAACTGTAGTTAAATGCACATTAAACTGTAGTTAAATGCTCATTAAACCGCATATATTTTAGCTCAACAGTCCACTACAGTCAGTAGCTTGAGGGGTATTGGTTTATGAATCACGGCTTCACTCCATCTGTGTCTGACGTCCGTACAGTAGTTATGGGAGGCTGGATGACAGGAAGCTCATGTCCGTGTCCAGGAAGTAAACCGGCGAGCTGTTTCTGCAGAAAGTAAATAAACGAAAGGTCAAACTGTGTGGTGGGTGGGAGGCTTTTCCTTTAAATCCTCCCCCCAGAGAACAAAGCAGTCACCACCTACCACAGTGCGCAGCTCTTAAATACGGCCCACAATGTTCTCCAGACGCTCGATCCTCCCAGACACATCGGCCAGTGAGATCAGTCAAGGAAACTCAAGTACAGGCACAATTAAATGATGAAACATACACAAGACACACTTTTAAATGCTGTTACAATAACAGTGCTAGCAGGTATCAGCCTCAGAGAAATGGGCCGCTGAGAGAGTGTTTATAATAAAACTTCTTCCATCTGAAACAACAGAAAGGATATGCTTGGCTGTGAGCTGCTGCAGGGCGGCCTGGGTCTGCTTGGCGAACATCAGTCGGGCTTCACATTTGCAGGGATCCTCCACCACCACCGCCCTCACCTCTTCTCCAGGAGAAAGCAAATTTCACATCAGTGTAACAGATCTTTCAGATAATGAAAAAAGCACATACGATAACACACACTCTACTTTTCCAACTGGGCCTCTGAAGAAAGCTTAAAAATAATATGTTCCCAAATATTCTACAATATTAATTTAGCATTTTCAATTTGCTACAGCAATATTCAATCAATTCTATAAAATTACCCGATTATTGTCCAACATGTGTTACAGCAAACAGTGAATTTAGAGAATTGTGCACCAGTAGGTTGGGATGTTGTGAAGCCCTGCTTGGAAGCCAAACATATTATTCACAAATGTACTGTTAGCAGCATTAATTAATATCAAAGCAACACATCATGTTTGCTGCAGGAATCCATACAGTATGTTCTTACGTTTCATGGAACATGTTTTGTTGTCCGTATTCAAGATATAACCGATCCGGCACTGGCAGTAATACGAGGCATTGCTGTTGACACATATGTGTTCGCAGTCATTTCCAATGGAACAGGGGTCCAGACCTGCAATAAGCCAGGGTTAAGGGATGGATACTGGATACACTTTAATATAAGTAGGAGATCCTGATTGGTAAGATAGCTGCAAATAATTCACGTAAAAGTTATCAGCTTCTTTCTAATGTCGACAAAAATGAGTAATATAAAAAATTGTTTTACTGCGACAGCTGTTTCTAATATAATTTCTGACATCTATTTAGCTTTTACATGTGTATATTATATTTGCAAGCTTTTCCGTTGCATTTGTACTCAACCAAATGTAACTTGATTCCTTCATAGACCTTCACCACATCTCAGCCAAGGTCATTTGCAAACTGCTTAGGCTCACTGTGTGTTGGACAACACAGGTAAAATCACAGAACCCTGAAGTGAAGCAGTAATTATAAGTTACATGGATACATTACTTCACAAGTGCTAGGGGGACAAGACAAACAACAGGACAGGAAAATATGGACCAGTAAATACAAGTTTATAGCAGAACCTCATTTGTCCAAAGAAATTTATCAAAATCGAGATATTTTAATAAATTATTCTGATCACTGTTACCAAATCATATAACGAATATGATATGTTCACATGTCCATATTAAGGTATATTGCATTTATTAGTTTGGATGCCTTATTTTTGAGATTGGTTTAAAAAAGTGAGGTTCGGCTATGCATATAAATCATTTAATACGTAGATATTCAAAGCATACACCATTCAGATGCTCTGAACAACTTTACGGAAGCCCAGAGACTAACTTGTTTACATTTATGGAGGAAAAAAATGTAATATTCATTTTGGCCTCTAGAGGCTGAAGTGCACTGCTACTACTAAAAGCATAAATGGTTTCTTCCAATTTTTCAATTTCTCCATGCACTCTCAACACAACATACACTTATTGTGTGTTAGCAAGTCATGAACCAATTGCTGTCATGTCCTTCTTTTGGCTATAAATTAGATTCTGTGTCATAAACACGGGAGACGACTCAATTTAGATCAGTCTTTAACTGCTTGCTAAAAATGTTGTGTCACTTGTCTTTTAGGGCTTCAGTAAACACGACTTACAATTACCATATACATTTTGCTGAAAGAGAAGCTGAAAGTTTAGGGCCGCACAGCCCCAAGACTTTACGTTGGTTAGACTGTTCGACTAAAAGCAGGTTCTAGTGCCGACATCTGCAGTCCATGTGGGGGATGAGGGCATCTGGCTTTATCCTCATGATTTCAGAGTTTATAATTCACCAATAACACAGTAAATGACCAACAACCCCCCTGTAGACTGTAGGTGCCCTTTACTGAGGAACTAGAACCGGGGTTAATGGTGGCGTAAAGGTCCTGCAGGTCCCTTTGTCCTACCGCACAGGGTCTCTCTGAACTTGGAGGTGAGCTTCTCGATGACGCCGTAGGTCTCCACATAGAAGACGTGCTCCTCCAGGGGGGTGCTGGCCATCTGCTGCAGGGAGCGCATGTCGGCCCTGTCCACCCCGACAGCGTAGATCTCGATGCCTGAAGCCCTGGCTGCGGCCGAGACCTCCTCCACCTGGTCCTGGGGCCTCCCGTCTGTCACAATGATGGCCACCTTTGTGATTTTCCTGGAGCGCGGTCTGGCTCCGGACTCCTCGGTGAAGGCTTCATTCATCGCGGTCTTGATGGCGAGGCCTGTCATGGTGCCGGCCGCCAAGGGCTCGATGCGGGTGATGGCTTTCTTCATGTCGGGTTTGTTGAAGTAGTTTTTGAGGACGAACTCGATCTTGACCGTGCTGGCGTAGTTGACCACGGCCACTCTGGTGGCTTCTGCGCCAACGTCCAAGGTGTCGACCATGTCAGCCAGGAAAATCTTCACCTTCTCAAACTCACCGGGACGCACGCTGCGAGAGCTGTCAATGATAAAGACCAGGTCCAGGGGACGGCTCATGCACTGAGAGTCTGTCTCTGGTGATCAACCAAAGCATGGCAGGATTAGGTCATAGTCATTATTCAGAGAAACATTCAAGTGTTTTAGTTAAACTGTCAGTGACAACAAAACACAGGACACTTTGGGATACACAACACATGTTGCCATGAAGACAGAAGGAAACTGTTGTGCATCCATGTAGTGGTAAAAAAATAAAATGATACAGTATGCCATTAAACATACTGACTTCATTTCAATATTTCAGTCCATCATATCCTTTTATCTCATTTTCCTGAATGAAAAGGATGCTTGATGTCAACACAAAAAAAAGTGACGTCACACCTAAAGATGGAGACATTGTTAGAAGCCCTGCCTGTCCGTTAACATAAACATACCAAACTACACACTACTACTACGCTTTTATTTAAAAAAGACATCAGCGTTAGCTCTTGTCTTATTTTAAACATCAAATGCTTAAAGGTGACCTATCATGCAAAATGCACTTTTGTACGTGTTTTATACATGAATATGTGTCCCCGGTGTTCCAGGGAACTCACCAAGTGTCAGAAAACACAACCCTCTCTATTTTCCTCCATACCCAAATCTCTTAAAAAGGGGCTGCAACGGATCTGATACAGACTGATCCAGATTTGAACACTGCGCTACGGCTATTGGGCCAACTCCACCAATCAGGAGGAGACAGCCACGGACATTGCCGTTCCAAAGCGCTGGAGACGCTGTAGTACATATGCCAGGCCTGTAGATGGTGCTGTTCTCACAGAATCAGCCCATGCAAAGACAGTGTTCAATTGAGCGAAATGAGGAATGGCTAAAATGCATGATCTGTTTGGTATTTTGAAGGTTAGGTATGGTCCTACACTATATTATTCAAATATAGCATGATAGGTCCACTTTAATATGAATCAAACAGATGTGAAAGTGGTGTGAATCTTCTCTAGTAAGAAGGAAAATATCTCACAAAGAATCTATAAGTTGTGTGTGTTTCTATTCTGTCTCAAATCAAACAGATCTGACCTGTAAAAGCATTGAGGATTTGGGTTGGAAAGCAAACCTGACTGGTAATGTTCTACCTGTCTCAGGACTGACGGTGGTGATGAAGCCGCTTTGGGTACTGACCGGTAGCGTCACAGGAGCGGGGGTCTCCACCGGCGGCACAGTGGTCACCACCACCGGCAGCATGGTGGTCACTGTCGTTGCTGGCAGAGTTGGCTGTAGTGTCGGCTCTGGTGGAGGTGGAGGTTGAGTTGAAGGAAGGGGAACCACAGGCGCTGGTTGCACTGTTGGGTCTGTCTTTATGAGGCAGGGACCTTTCAATGTGTGAGGGAACTGGCCTTTGAGCCTGTGATGAGGGTGGTGAACTACTGGTGGAGATAGACCTTTGTAAATGTGATGCATACGTGGAGTCACTGGGCCGGTGAATCTGTGGTGGTATGGGGGCATGGGGTGTGAGGGTCTGTGGTAGGTCAGTGGAGGAGACATAGGAAAAGGTCTATACACTACCGGTGGAGGGATCCTTGGTGGCTGGTAGTGGTAGTGATACCCTCCTCTATACGTGTAAGCACTTCTGTGGCCTACAGGCACACCAGAAAGGAAAAGTGATAGAGAACATTAGTAGGTGGAAAGTACAGGAGAGTTGTGTAAGTTGACATTTGACAACAATAGACAGACACATTATTAGTTGAAGCACGAGTGTAAGTTCAGCCACGTGGGTTTGTTTTCTAACAAGCTTGGATTATGCAGTATAATAATGCTTGTGAAACACCCAGTAAACACATTTCACAATTCATGCACGTTGTGTTTAAGAAAAGTGTAAAGTCCAATCATCCACTACTGGTTACATTACATTTTCACCCTAAATAGACCAGGTCTGGCCTTTCATGTTTAATGTAATATGCAAAAAATACATTACAGTACAAAACAGTTTAAGTTATTTCTATTTTAACTCATACTGACATGAGATTTAAAAAGTCTGGCGTGGATATAGGAACAATTACTATATTTAAGTACAGTCTTAAGGTACTTTAATTAAACAAATACAGTTTATGTTACATATGAGCGAGAAATGCAGTACTTTCTACTACATAGTTTTGAAAGTAAAACAAATAATAACATTCATACTATTTCATATTTATATTTGCTAAGAGCTGTATTGCTTCTGGCCAAAGTATTTTGGGGCAAAAACCAAACTTGACACAAAATTCAAGGTATTTGCCTCATTAAACACACTAAAGGGGGCAAAAGACATTCGGTAATTGTGTCTTTTAATACCACCAAACTTCAAATGTTGGAGGGAAAAAAATCCCCAATGCCTCGACTTATAGTTATTTAAATAAAAACAGCAGAGAATTTTTGAAGGAAAATGTCGCTTTAGTAGATACTTAATTTTGTAAGGGGTCAGAGGCCAAAACGATTGTTCATTTATAGCAGTAAATTGTATGTGTTTTTAAAAATAATAGCAGTAACCACAACGTCACATAAACGAGTTAAATCTGTAGTGTAGTATAAAGTGCCTCTTATTAAAGTAAATAATAAATGTGCTTTCCACTACTAATGCTTTCATATTGCTATATTTGTATACTTAAGTTTTGTAAACTTCTTCCCTCACACTTAGAAAGTACCAACTCGTTCAGAACTTACTTTCTGGGTTCAGGGTCCTGATCGGGGGTCGGCCATTGAGTCGTGTTTGTGCGTAGCTCTGTGCGGAGATCAGCCGCGGGTCCCCGGCATTGAGAGGGTGTGTGGCCCGGGCATCAGGCAGCAGCAGCGCGGCGCAGCACAGCAGACTCCAGAGCAAAGTCTTCATCATGTCTGCAGAGTCCTCCGGTGGTCTGTCCGGTGTCTGTCTCGGTCTCAAAGGGTCCTCACTGACCGCCTCCCCATATGAGGGGCTCTCAGCACAACGCGTCAAACCGATCGTCCAATCCAAAGGTGGGGCACGACCTCCACCGGTAGAGACGGTATGGAGGACGGTATAGAAAAAAGTATTATCTGCAGCATTTCGGGGAGACGTATAGCGGCAGAGGTGTCAAGTACATTTACTCAAGTACTGTACAATTCTGAGGTACTACTTTGTACTTCTATCCCACTACAACTCTAAATATTGTACTTTTACTCCACTACATTTACCTAGTAGCCTAGTTACTTTGCAGATATGGATTAATGATAACAAATGTGATCAAATAAGACTTTAGTTACACATGGAGTAAATTCACAAGCTACCCAGCAGTAAATAACATAATACAGATTTGGTCCACTTTAACAAGTTTGATAAATACATCAATACATAAATGATTTTATTGACAACATATGATTCTGAAATGGGCCAATCAGCATAGCAAGTAGCCTATATGACTTTGCTACTTTGAGTATTTTTAGATGCCAATACTTTTGTACGTTTACTTGAATTACCTTTTGAATACAGGACTTTTACTCGTAACAGAGTATGCCTACACTGAAGAACTATAAGTGTTTCTCAACATGACAGAATCACAGCCGTTCAATTTTAAATCTGCTTTTGAATTTACTACAGAATCTTAGACATAAACAAAAGAGTCATGGAGACATCATTTTTCTGAAATGTTTATTGAAGTCAAATGAATTTCCACTAGGATAAAATCATATTACCAATAAAGAAATGGGGAGGCTTTTGATAAGCATGCAAATACTAATGTTCACAAGACTAGCTGCTGCTCCAGATGTCGGGCGAGGAGGAAGCAGAGAAAATGATCATCATCATCATCATCAGTGCCCTCCGTTCTCTCTCTGTCTCCGTCTGTCTCTCCGTTTCAGCTGGGAAACTAATCCCTATCTTTGCTAACACATCGGGGCAGCAGAGTGATGAAAATGTCAGGGGTGGCAGTGAACCGAACCACAGCAAAGCTAAATAAATACCAGACGAAAAAGTGCTACAGACTCCATTCAATGACTGAGATGGAATAGTCTAGGTGTAAATAATTAGGGGGGGAAATAACACAATTCAACAATAAGAGCTATAATAAATGGATTGTCATCATATTTTTTTTACACTTCATATATCAATCAATAGATAGGATGGGGCTGGATTGATGATAGCATTTCAAGCAATTTATTTTTCACATGTATCCCTTTTGCTAAGACATAAAAAAGGCCAGAGGGGTGGGAGCGAGTGCTGGTAGCTTCCTTTGCTTTTCAAACATCACATTCATTCATTCATCTCACAGATTTCAGTCTTTCCCACCTTTCCCCTCTCACACCTCCGGGATGCTCTATAGACGCTCTGTAGGAACACCGAGGGAAGAGCTGAACAAAACATTGTCAGGGGCCTTACACGTACACAATAGGTCAGGGAAGGGGGGGGGTTAGGTGAAATGGTGTTCAGAAAGGGTTAGTGAGGCAAGGTAGGAATGCATATGGTTGTGTGTGTGTGTGCGTGCGTGCGTGCGTGTGTGTGTGCGTGCGTGTGTGTGTGTGCGTGTGTGCGTGGGTGTGTGCGTGTGTGTGTGCGTGTGTGTGTGTGTGTGTGTGTGTGGTTTGGCAACAGGGGCTGGTGCTTAAGCAGGCATGTAAGGGGGAGGTGGCTCCTTCTCTGGCATCTTCATCGCCATCTCGTAAGTAGGCAGGATGTACTGGAGAAGAAAACAAATCAGGATAACATCAGTAATCTATATTAATCCACATGCACACATATTAGGGCTCCAACTAAGGAATATACACATTTTAAAAATTCATTCATCTGGATATCAAGAGTCTTAATGGTCAAAAATCATATTTTAAGCGTGCTAAAAGTTAACTTATTTTAGCATCTCTAAAGTGAATGCAGGTTGTCTTCTATGATATTGAAGTGAACATGTGGTGATATTGGGCGGTTTGTTCGACAAAAGTAGGGATTAAAATATGACAATTTGGGATTTTAGACCTTTTAAATATGCTTTTTACCGCTTTATACACCAAAAAATTATTTGAAATCATTGTCAAGGGAACTGACAGACAAATTGATAACATATTTTTTAATTGTGGATTTCAATTCCATATGAGATAACCTCACCACCAGTTAAGTGTGTCATCTCATCAATATGACTAAACGTTTTAATTTAATAACTATTAGAGACATTTGAGAGGCTTTGAAAGAGGAGATTTTTTTTACTTTGATAAAAAGGTGTTAACCAAAAAAAATGGTAGCTGGCAATAAATGTTATTTCTTCTGAGAGGTTGTTCTTTTATGAACACTTAATGTGATTACTGCCTGCTTTTGGCTTCTTATACCATCACTGCGTGGACAGCATGCCACCTGTTGGCCCAAAGTCAGCATTACATATTGCTTTACCAAAAAGTGTCGAGTGTGTGACAGAGATACCGCTCGTAAAATTCACAGCAGTCAATCAGAGAGCAGTCAGGCAGCCTGCATGCATACCTGGGGAGGGGTCTCGAAGGCCGGGTAGACTGCAATCTCTGGCATGTTCCTGTTGTTGATGTACTTGTAGCAGTTCCACACACAGTTGATCAGGTAGGACTGGAAAGCAAACATTTATTTTGAATGTTATTATTAAACTTGCTAAAACCACAACATATCTTTTAAATTTAAAAACAGCACAAAGATTCATCATACTTTTTAATATGGCTTTTAATTTGGGTAAACTTTCAATTCTCACTAGTATCATTGTCCATGTTTTACTGTATTTTTTCTAATTTGCTTTTATTTGACATTTTTTAATTGTTTTATTTTAACATAGTTTAATTTCTTGTCAGCTTTAATTCACGGGAATTTCATTAGGATCGCTGTTGATGTTTCATCTTGTTCTGTATTTATTTTAATTTTGTTTTTATGTTTACTGTAAAGCACTTGAATGAAAGGTGCTATACAAATAAAGTGTATTATTATTATTATTATATCATCATCATCCCTTCACTGAATCCACGGACATTTAACTAATATCAACTTCCTCATCTAAAAAAAAAATCAAACTTACTATGTTTTAAGTTTGATTGGATCGAAATGAAATGAACCAAAAGACAGAATAAACCGGATGTATCTGTGAATAAATAACAAGGATTTCACCTTGAGGATGATGAGGAAGGCAAAGAAGACGAGCACGAAGAGCAGCAGGCAGCTGGAGTCCAGAGAGAGCAGGTTATCTTTGTACGGGAAGTCCGGCTGAGGAGGACAAGAACAGACGGCAGATAATCAATGAGACCTTTTTTAACTCAACACGCATCTCCATCGACGCTGCCACCCAACCCACAGAAAGAAACTCAACCCTTAGAGCGCTTGAGGTTGTTTCAACAGTCAAATGTCATAGGTGAATCATTTTCAGTATTTATCAACATTTGTATAACCTGATTGTTTTAGAGCGTTTCTATTTGAATTTTGATTCTGGTTACATCGTGCACAATCAAAGAAAGGCTGTGCAAACACACATGTTTATCCATTGGTGGTTTTCCTGATTACTTTGAGGAATTCTGTCAAAAAGTCAGAAGCTTATTTGCTTTCAGTCATGTTTTCTCCTCATTTTCCATGAACGTGGAATAACATTTAACACTTATCAAAAAGTATTTACAATACTAAAGTATGAAGATACTAAATCAACTCTCTTCTAAGAGCAACTTGTAATGGTTTACAAATATAACATTGGCATTCAAACACAAATATCTTTACCCTTCTACATAAACCTTAAATTGTGTAACTTTTTAACTTATTCTATTTTGTATTATATTATAACTTTTTGTAACTTTAATACTTTTTCATGCATGTAACATTAAGCTGTCTTTAGCTCTTTTTCTGCTGTAACACAATGTACATTTCCCCTCTGTGGGACTAATAAAGGGATTCTGATTCTGAGGTATTTTTAGGTAGAAATGACATAAAAAGGAGAGCAATGAGGCTTAGTATTAGATGCCGTTTTCTACTGTCACGGTTAATAACGGTGGTGTCATGAATTATAACGCCACGGGATCACACTGTGGAAAGAGGAATGTGTTGCCACTGACCAGCTGGTCCAGGTAGTCCTTGATCCGGGGAAGGTAGGTGAGAGAGCTGATGGCCACCAGGCAGCTCAGAGCAAAGTCAAACAGCTGGTAGCAGAAAAACGGGATGAGCCAGCCGTCACGATGCTGAGGAGAACGATTACAGGGGAGACAAAGAATTATAATGAACAAACTTATCAGTTAGGCAGAAGCTGTTTGAGGTCATTGAGCACAAGGAACATGTTGCATTATTCAACCTTATCCCCCAACACATGTCTTTGATTAACATTTAGACATATATCTTTATCAAGGAGGTATTGCCCTCTAGAAGAACTACAGATAAAGATGCATTCACAGTCTGCATCAAAACAGCTTTCAGTGTTTGTTCCATTCCCACCCTGGGTTTCTCAGCTTCAAATGTTTAATTAAGATCTTTCCTGGATTGAAAAAACGCTTTTCGCTCTGCGCTCAGGGCTGCATCATCACATGTGGTTTGGGGTAAATGAAAAGAGCCTGCCTACAGAGGCAGAGAGTGCTGACGCTGTAGCAATAGCAAGCCTCACTGTAACGAATACAAAGAGAAGATTGAAGATCTGCAGCGTTCCTTTAACTGGGTCACTTGACAACAATCTCTACGGGCATTCTGGGTGTTTTTTTAATGCAAGGACGATACTTCTACTGTACTCTCCAATCTTAGTTATTGTAGCAAAGTACTAAATATATGTTGTACATTAGGAACATGAAACATTTAGGATATTGAATTGGGACGCTACAAACAACTGCGGCTCTGAACCGCCACACTGCATTGGAAAAGGGGTTTCTACTACTGTTGTCTAGGAGATGTTCTTGCACAGCTAAAGCATAACTCTTGCAGACCGTCAGCATGAACAGATCCTGCA